TATGTTATGCATCAATAGCAGCAACAGCTTTTCCAGGTTCTGCAGTCATCTGAACAAAATGATAGACTTTCAGCACTTTCCATTAAAAAAAACAAAAACAAAAAAACAAAAGAATAATACCCAGAAAACAGCAAAGTTCTGTTGCTGTTGTGGTACTTGGCACCATTTTTTTTCTTTAGCATCTTAATCATCATCTGGAAAGAGAACATTCTAGAGTAATATAATTAAAAATAGCTCTGATAAAGCACAGTCACTACAACATATCATAAAGCAGGTACAAGATATCTTACACTCAAAGAGGTATGATACAGTACCATCCTACATCAATAATACTAGAATCAGTTTTGGTTTGAAATTTGCTTTGTTTGCAAATAAGATTGCTACGCCTGCTTTTTTCTGGGCTCCTGATGCATGGAGAATTGTTTTCCATCCTTTCACTTTCAGTCTATGGGCTTCTTTTTGCACTAGGTGTGTTTCTTGTATACAACATATTGTTGGATTTTGCTTCTTATTCCATTTTGCCAGTCTATTTCTCTTGATTGGTGAGTTGAGGCCATTGACGTTGCTGGTTATAACTGATATGTACTGATTTATTATTGTCATGTTATTGGCTTTTTGTTGACTCTTTTTACTTTTTCACCTTCTTTTAGTTTCTTGCCTTGCCTATTTGATTTGCTCTGTTGGGCCTCATGGTGCTGTTGCCTTCATTGTCTTTTTCTAGGATCTTTAGAATTGCTTGTAGTGCTGGTTTGGTATTCATGTAGTTTCTCAGGTGTTCTTTGTTGTGGAAATATCTTATTTCCCCATCCATTTTTGAAAGAGAGTGTTGCAGGATACATCAGTCTAGGTTGGAGGTTGTTCTCTTTTAGTACTTGAAATATCTCACTCCAGGCTCTCCTTGCCCTAAGGGTTTGTGCTGAAAAGTCTGCTGTGATTCTGATGGGCTTTCCTTTGCATGTGATTTATTTCTTTCCTCTTACTGCTTGTAGTATTTTGTTCTTCTGTTGGGTTTCTGAGATCTTGATTATTATATGTCTAGGTGTAGATTTTTGTTGATTGTGGCTAGTTGGGGTCCTATATGCCTCACTGTACGTCAAATTCTTTTGCTCTGTTTGGGAAGTTTTCTGTCATTAATTCTGTGAACAGCTTTTTAAAGTCATTTGTATTTTCTCCTGCTACTTCATGGATTCCTATCAGTCTCACGTTATTCTTCTTTACATCATCTAGGAGTTGTTGTATTGATTTCTCATGATCCCCTACTGTTTTTGAGAGACCTCTCTTTTCATGGTCACTGACTGCCATCTTATCTTCTATATCTGAGAGCCTATCTTCACATTCTTTTATTCTGTTGTGTACACTTTCAATGGAGTATTTAATCTCCCATATATCTGTTTGAATCTGTTTTATGGATTCCATTTCTCTCCTATGTTGGGCATTTATTGTTTCCATTTCTTTCTTATGCTGGGCCTTCATGGCTTCTATCGTGGTTCTGAGCTCATCCTTTTTTTTTTTTTTTTTTTTTTTGGTCAGTTTTTGCTCTACAGTCTTGAATCATGACTTTCATTTTACTCACCATCTCTATGGCTATCTGGGAAATTATTTATGTTTTGAGTTCTTCTAGAGCCTGATTGATCTTTTTTGTTACTTCCTGTGCTTTGAGTTCAGGGTGTCCTGGTGGTTCACTATCGGCCTGTTCATCCACATTTGCCCTACTGTTTGCCATTGGTGAACTGGAAATCTGTCTTTGTGTCTTGCTTAAGTGTTTTCTCATTTTTATTTTTGTTGTCAGGCTGTCCTTGGTTTAATCTCTGGGTTATCACCCAAATCTTCCTGATATAGTTGTGCCGTAGTTTCTGGGTCTCTAAAGACCCACAGACATTCTCATCTTCATAACATCAGAGAAACAGCTCATCCAATCAACCACAATCCTTTATCCCAACTGATACAATCAGCAACACATTATGATCAAGCACAACTTGGAAACTGACCACCTGTGGTAGTCACTAGTCTATCACCCTTAAATCATTTGAATTAAATTGAAATCAAGAAGCCATCCAGAACATGTCTGCAGTGAACAAACTTTTCATTATAGTATATTTACCATTTAATGGCTCAGACAGAGCTAGGACACAAGATCCCTGCTCTCAGTTAGCTGATGGCTGAACCCCATGACGCAGACTGACCTCAGGCTGCAAGGCCCAGACTGAGTTCCCCAACTTTCTGAATGGTTGAACTCCACACCATTCTACTACAGGTTTCCCACGCCCTTTCTTTAAAGATGTTCAAAGTTGGGAACTCAGAAAAATACCCTTTATGACAACTTCTGCCTCTGCAGAGTGGGTCCAAAGACTGGCACAATCAGGAGGTCTGAGAGAGCATGGTGGGGGATCAGGGGAGTTATGGGGGTTCAGGGGGTGCCCACATGGCTACCTTCCTGGCACTGGAGTGATGGTGGCTCGGGGCGGGGGAAGGCATGGCTCTCTTTCCCGCGGTGGATCAGAGCCCAGGCTACCTTCCTGGTGCTCACTGGCACTGCTTTTAGCATGATTGGCCTTTTGTCAACAAAATAAACCTTTTATTATTAAAAAAAAAAAAAGAGAGAGATGGAGGCGTATGACTCCCTTATGGCCAGTTTTGCTCCCTGGCCCATCACAGCTTAGCATTAACCAGGGAATGGCCCAAGACACAAAAGAGTCAGGGAAGAGGATCCTGCAGGCCAGGACTGAGTTTCTCCCTGTAGAGGAGGAGAAGTTAGAAGTGGAGGGAAAAGTACTGTTACCTCTCCTTCCACTCCCCATATAATCAGCCTTTAACAAATAATCTTAAATCCTATATGTATTCACATTTGGGATTTCTGCAGGGAAATGGTTGACTTGAGAAATGTTGCATTGGCTGTTACCCTATCTTATTCTTGCTTTTATCTGATTGGAACTCAAAATGCACCTCCTACTTTTCTTGGTAGCCATCCCCCACTGAAATCTGTATAAAGACCTTGCCCCAGAGACTGAGGGCAGAAACTGACCTTCCATTCTGGAGACCCAGGTAAGCGGCCCAAGTGGTAGTCTGAGGAGCTGCCACTGCTGTAGGGCAGGGGAGGAGGGAGCTAAAGTGGATGGTGCATTGAGAAAGCTTGGGCTTTCACTAGCACCAAAAATTCTTGGACTGGAGGAACATCCACTGGGGCAGAGGGGTGGGGGTTAGTGGGAATAGGCAGGTACAAAGAACTCATGGGCTGCAGGAGGAGCTTGCAAATTGAACAAAGTCATGATCTCTCTTTGGAATACAATAGAATTCTTTAATCAGCCAGTGTCAGGCACTAGACTGTGTTTCCCTTGTGCTCTAAGACAACAGGCTCTCTGTCACCCATCATCCTGGATGTCATGCCAATAACTCAGTAATAAAATTTGCCTCACGATTTGCTCAAAATAATCTTCTGATGGGCCATTTAAATTCTGGGGTAAAGTGTATTTTATTTTTCACATGTAGTTTAGATGAAAAAAATTCAGTATTCAAAAGAGGCACTGGCTGGGGATTTAGCTCAGTTGTTCTGCCACCTGCCTTGCAAATGCAAGGGCCTGAGTTTGATCCCCGGTACAAAAAAAAAAAAAAAAAAAAAAAAAAAAAAAAAAAAAAAAAAAAAAAAGCACTGTTAGTATTTTAGGTGGCATTAAGTTACTCCCAAAAAGGGACAATGGCTTCTCTCTAACTAGTGAGAGTGCAATGCACTCGGAGAAGGTTTCATGTGACTGTCATGACTTGGAAAATCTCTCTGGAAAAGACTTGTCTTTCTGGAAAGGGATACTGTGTGCCAGGAAGCAGCAGGTGGGAGCTACAGTGCAATCTCTGAAGGCCTGCTCTTCCTTCCCTTTCCCTTTCCCATTTAGGCTCCCCCAGGACAGTGAAGTCACCATGGCTCTGGGGAGGTCCCTTGTGCTATTCCCAATGCTCATCCTGGTGCTCCTGGGGCTGGTGTGGGTCCAGCCTTCCCTGGGCAAAGAATCCGCTGCCATGAAGTTCCAGCGGCAGCACATGGACTCAAGCAGTAACCCCACCAGCAATGCCAACTACTGTAATGAGATGATGAAGCGCCGGAACATGACACAGGACCGCTGCAAACCCGTGAACACCTTTGTGCACGAGCCCCTGGCAGATGTCCAGGCTGTCTGCTTCCAGAAGAATGTCGTCTGCAAGAATGGGCAGACCAACTGCTACCAGAGCACCTCCAGTATGCACATCACCGACTGCCGCCTGACGAGCAACTCCAAGTACCCCAACTGCTCCTACCGCACCAGCCAGATGGAGAGGAGCATCGTCGTGGCCTGTGAGGGGAACCCGTATGTGCCGGTCCACTTTGACGCTTCTGTGGACTCCTCCACCTAAGCCAGAGAGCGAGATGCCCATCTCACCCCTGCTCTTCACTTCAACACCCACCTTCCCCTCTTCTTTCCTTGTCCCAAAAGAAGTAACTGCAGTCAGGGCTCGGTCCAGCACACACGCTTCCCTCTCCTCAGTCCTGCTCCTTCATGGCTTTGGGGCTGAGGAGTGGGTGGCTAGGTGGGCCCCACATTAACTCCTTCACTGCTTCTGCCAATAAACACAGTTGCACTCACTTGACTTCTGAAGCATCCTTCCAAGGTACTGTTTCTGAGGTGACTTTCCAACAAGGAGTAAGTCATGGAAATCTGATTCCTTTTGGTGAACAGCAAGAGGGGAAATTAAATGACCCTCCCACTCTTGGATTTCAGGGCTGTGAGAAAATTTCCTTTCTTATGCATTACTTGATATTGAGTATAAAACTTTTAAATATATGATGTTTTTTATAAAAGGGAGCTAAAACTGGAGATATTGTAGTCCTGTATAAACTGATAGAAGTGACACTCAGATGCCATCATTCTCTAGCACAGAACCAGGGAAAGCATGGCCACAGGAAGACCCTGCATGGCCTCACCATGAAAAGGAGGAGTTTATGAAAGTATGATCCTAAATTCTATTTTAGTTTTTGTTGAATGAGCTACTTCCACATCAGAAAAACAATTCTTGGAAAGCCACAGAGCTGCAAGACCTTAGAGGTCATGGAATTGAGGGTTACCATATAGGTTTCAGCCTGAAGGTGGACCTCCATAAAACTAGGCGCTGGTGCATTTATTTGCAGACTTCTTAAAACTGTTTCCTGGTAGCCACTTTCCATGAGAAAAACTACATAGTTCCTCTGCAAATCATTCAGTAAGTTTAGATTTTTTTTTGTTTCTTTGTAGGTTTTTAATAAGTGTATATGGGAAGGTATCTTCTCAGATTCCATCTTTCATCATCATGTTTTTCCCATCTTCGTATTTTTTAATAGACTCTTTTGGAGAGCTTTTGAATTCACAGGCTGATTAACACAGTTGTCTTCATGGTCCATGATAAAGGAGTTGTTAATCTGCATGGTTTGAGAACACTGGGCATCTAGTGAGTGTGGTGGCAGTGTTTTAAAGCTCATCACACTCTTACTTTATTTTCTTTCTTGCTGCAAGTCTGGGCAGGACCTATGATGAGGATCAGTTTCTTTCCCTTTTTACTTACCCTGAGTCTGCATGTGGTAGATAATTTGGTGGGGGCCTGTGGTTGAGTCCTGGCCCTATTATAGCTCCCTGTGTCTCTGAGTAAACTCTGTATCCCTCTCTGAACCAGTTTCCTAATCCAGGGAGAGAGATTAAGTGATCCCAAAGTTCCCTTACACTTAGGATTTTCCAGTTGTGTCTCCACCCATGTTTTAGCTGGGCTGGGCAGTGACATGCAGATCCTAGCTATGTATGGTTAGGAATCTCTAGAAAAGTCACAGGTTGATATCTGGATTAGTTCAGTGGGATCCTTTCCACATAAAGCTGTTTTAGAGGTCTTGATCATCTTAGCAGATGTCAAATTCCTTGGTGGGGCAGATCTTCCTTGCAGATCACTTTAGACAGCCTCTGAGAGTCAAAGCTCTCAGTTTTCCTGTGCCTGGGCTCACAGGTCTCCCCCAGCCCTGAGAGCCCATGGGGACTTTTGCCTTGGCTCAGAGCTCCAAGTGAGGAGAGGTTGATGTGTAGGTGAGATCAGAGCAGCAGTGAGAAAACACAGAAGTGGGGTCAGGAAGTTTCCTGGCTTCATTGGAAACTTGCTTGTGAAGGTGTAGTGCAGGGCCACACTCCTGAGCAGGGGAGACTTTCCTCCTCACCTCTCTGTCCTTGCTCATAAACACCATCATATAATTCCTTAAGGGAAGGGCCCTGAGACATGGAGACATGGGATTGTTGTAACATAGGGAAAAAATATATTTGCATGGGACATGACTATGGGTGCCCAGACTATAGACCTGTGGAATTAAGGAAAATCAGTCTAGCAATAGCCGCTTGTCATCTGACAACAAAATGCATGCCTGTAGGCTGAAGCAGGAGGACTGCAAATTTCTGGCCAACCTGTGTAGCTTAGCAAGACTTTACTCAAAATATTAAAAAATTAATGCAAGACTAAGGATGTTTTTGTTATAAAGAATCCACTTGTCAACAAAAAATCAGGGTCTTTGTTATGAGAAAAAGAAAAGTTTATTCCAGTGAACAGGAACTAGAAAGCATGAGATTTTAGTAGGTAGCTAGGAAAAGCCAAGTTTATCACATCTGTGTCTGGATGGGCTGACAATGGGAGAGAGAGATCCTGGCAGCTAGCTGGGAGAGATTTCATCTCTGAGAGGATGGGCTAACACCAGGGGAGAGAGATTTACAATTAACTGGGAAAGGAATTAGGCTTATATGGGTATTGAACGGGCTAAGGAATCTGGGGTGATGTATTGATGATTTAGCTGCCCAAGGACCCTCTGTTCAGGTACATATATAATCATGGGACTGTTTGGTGCCAAGGGGTTGAAAGCCATATTAGTCCAATTGCCTTACTTACTGGGAAGCTGCTGGTATTTGCTAAAAGCAGCCTGTTTATTTTTCCTGTTGATTCAGGGCGTGCCTGATAGTTATGAGCATAATGATACATATCTGTAATCCCTCACTCAGGAGTCTAGGGTAGTAGGATCATTTGAGGCCAACTTGGAAAACTTTGCCAGATCCTATCTTAAAATAAAAAATAAAAAGGGCTGGAGATGTAGTTCAGCTCTCCCTGGGTTTAATTCCCAGCATCCCACCCCTAATCCAACCATTGAGGGAAAAAAGTACCAACACCCCTCTGTCTGAGGGTTCACCATCACTTTTGAATAAGTATAGACAATGGCTGCAAGGAAATAAAGTCATAAGGAGAATTTAAAGGGTTGGAGGACTTCCTTGCTTGCAGTCTCAGTGACACGGAAGCAAGGAAAGTGGCTGAGTTCTCAGGAAGACCTCAAAGGTAGTCTTGAGACCTAAGAACAAAGTAGTCCTTAGAATACTGGCAGGTTAGGTAGGGCCAGGGATTTAGCTCAGTGGTTTGGTGGCCTGCCTTGCAAGCTCAAGGACCTGAGTTCAATCCCCAGAACCAAAAAAAAAAAAAAAA